TATATATATATTTTTCTTCTTCTCTCTCTCTCTCTCTCTCTCTCTCTCTCTCTCTCTCTCTCTCTCTCTCTCTCTCTCTCTCTCTCTCTTTCTCTCTCCTCCCCTTCTCTTTTTCTTTTTCTTTCTACGTATTTATCCATCTAGCATTTTTTTCATTCTCTCTATTTCTTTCTGTCTTGATTATTAATCTCGTAACATGTTAAAATTCTTGTAATATTGTTCCAGCTTGCGATGGAGAAACCCGAACAGAAATCTGAAATTCAAACCTTTTACAAAGATAAGGTCATCTTCATTACCGGTGCTTCCGGCTTTATGGGCAAAGTTCTTATTGAAAAATTATTGTATGCGTGTTCCGATCTCAACAAAATCTACATTCTTATTCGACCCAAAAGAGCCCGCAGTGTCGAAACTCGGGTCGAAGAGATGTTCAAGTTGCCTGTAAGAAATGCGAATTATGCTATCATCTTCTTTATTCTAAGCAATATTATGTAAGATAATGTTGTCTTGAATTCTTGCAAAACTATTACAATGCTTGCATGCTTACATACTTAAATAATAGAATTAATTTTTATGTTGTTATTGATTATGTCATTCATTATTAATTAACGCTAATGCATAAAAATAATATTTGAGTAACATATTGCTTAATAGAAAGCTATATAAAAAATTATTTATAAGCATATAATTTAATAAAATCATATATATTTTAGATAGAAATTAAAGATTTAACTATATCTTTTTTAATTTTAATAGAATTTTTTATTAAAGATTATTGTTGCATTTTTAAGTTGTATAATATGATACGATAGACTTAGAACGTAAAAATTTAATTTTGGATAAATGTAAAATTCGTCAAATTACGATATAATTTGAAATAAAAGATAGTATTTACATATATTTACATATATAATATGCAAATATTTGATATTATTAATAACAAATAATTGATATTTTATAGCTGTTTCAAAGAATACGGAATGAGAAACCGCAGCTTTTTAAGAAAGTCATACCGTTGAACGGTGACATATTATCGCCCAATTTAGGACTTTTTGATGAGCAATGTGAACTTCTGGCAAACGAAGTAAACATAGTATTTCATAGCGCCGCGACGCTTCGACTAGAGGCAAAATTGAAAGATGCTGTTGACATGAATCTAGTAAGATAATTAATTGTCGTGAAAAAATTTCTATTAATCACAAATTTTTTATTTGTGTGTTTTATATATCATTGATTGTATTAATATGTCAATATATTACGACTCTCTATTATTGTACAATTATCTTTAAATTCCATGTTTATATAATCTACGTGATGAAAATATCAACAAAATAATAAAGCTGCTAAGATAAGCTTTTAAGTCAAGTAACGTAAAAATAGAGTTTAAAATTAAAATATGTCTTATTTTGCTTAATTCTATGCATACTTTATAATAATGTGAAATACATGAGGTTCGAATAATTTTCAAGACAGGTACAAAAAGAATATTGGACTTGGCAAAACAAATGAAGTACCTCAAGGCTTTTGTGCATATAAGCACAGCCTTCTGTCACGTCGACCAAGAGGAACTCGGTGAGCGTACCTATGACTCGCCCAATGATCCTCAAGATATCATGAGACTTGTTCAGTGGTTAGACGAAGATGCTATCGATCTTATTTCACCAAAGTAATTAAACTTGCGACGTTATTAATGATATCCGGCGTAAGCGCCGGAGCAAGCAGGTGCAGCCTGCTAATATTAATTATAAAATTGTTTATATTAATTATATTAATTATATTAATTATATAATTGTTTAAAGACTATATTTTATTTAATTCTTAACAATAGTTATAAATATATGTACATATGCATGTGCGTGTGTGTGTGTATACAGATCTGTAGTTTAACTTCAATTTTAATAATGTTAAGCAGCTAAAAAAGATTAAATTATTTTATATAGTTGTATATAGTTATACAAAAGAAATACATAAAAAAATATATTTCTTTTCTCATTCATAGATTACTGCATCCCCATCCAAATACCTACACATATTCGAAACGTTTGGCTGAAACGCTGGTGGCCAACGAGTTTCCCAAACTACCTTGTGTCATTGCCAGACCATCGATCGGTAATTAAGAGACATTTTAATAATTATGAGAAATTATAAAAAATAATGTGCTGATAATTTAAAAATTTTAAATTAATTTATCTCTTTACGTAGTAACACCTTCTCTCAAAGAACCTATGCCAGGATGGGTTGACAACTTAAACGGACCTACAGGATTGATTGTCGGCGCAGGCAAAGGTGTCATCAGATCGATGCATTGCAACGGCGATTATCACGCTGAAGTTATTCCAGTTGATATTGCGATTAACAATCTAATTGTGATTGCGTTCAGAATTGCTACCAACCGGGAAAAGTGAGTACCTTTATTCTGCCTTATTATCTCAATAATAAAATATGATACAAAATTACATGAAATTAAATGAATTTAATGTATTTTGTACAATTTAGATTACTTCTTTACTATTATATAATTTCTTATGTAATTATAAGATTTGTTAAAAGATATTTAAATAGAAGGAAAAAACTTTATTTTAAAAAAAATTTTTTCTCATACTTATTTAATTAAAAAATATTAACTTATATATCATAAATTGTTTAATATTACATAATAAAAACTTAAAAAATTTCGACACATTTTCTGAAGGTAAACTTTATTTTACACTCGCATCTTTATTATATTTAAATGTATCGAAAATATTTTACGATTAATTTCTCTCTGTTCTTCTATTATATCTATTATTCATTTGTTTTTCTCTTATATCTATTATTTAGAACGAAAAGTATACCTGTATTAAATATAACACAAGGAAAGACACATCCGATAACATGGAGAGAAGTACTAGATAAGGGCAGAGTTTGCGCTTATGAATATCCTTTCGAGGGACAAGTTTGGTTTCCGGACGGGGACATGCGTAGCAATAAATTTGTACATAATATATTTGTCTTTTTCTTTCACATTATTCCTGCATATTTCATTGACTTTTTGATGTTGCTATTTCGACAGAAAAGATTGTAAGTTCTACATTTTTTTATATTTTTTTTAGTGTTTTTCAGAAATTATATTTTAACATTTAATAAGTATAATTAAACCTATTAATATATTTATTGAATTTTTAAACATATTTTAAATATTATATAATACATATTAATGTTGTAATTATATAAATCTTTTCTCTAAGCTATTATTTATCTTCTCTGTTTTTTATTAACAGTATGGTCAGAATTCAAAAACGAATTTCCGTTGGACTTGAAGTGTTACAATATTTTACTACAAGAGAATGGATATTTCACAATGCTAGATTACTTAAAATGGACAAGGAACAATCGCCAATGGATAAAAAGCTATTTCCAACAATAGTTTACGATGTCAATATAGACGAATACCTTAAATACGTCATCCTCGGTTCGCGGCAATATTGTATGAAAGAGGATCTATCTACTTTGCCAAAAGCCCGTCGACATCAAAAAATGTGAGTATTTTCTAAATTGCAATATTTTCATCAAAGAGTAAAAATTCTATAAAATTTGCTCAGTCAATTTCAAAAAATATTCTGAAGATATAATAATAAGATATAATAATAAGAAGATATAATAATATTTTAATTTTTGATAAACAAAGAACAAATAAATATATAATTTGTTTCTTTATATTTATAAAAAATTCTAGTATTTTTCTTCTTCCTATTCTCAGAAAATGACAATTGTGTATTTTTAAGAGAAACTGGATACTTTCTATTATAGGAAGATAATTATTCACATAACGGAAGAGATAACTAATAAGAGAAATTTAATGTTGTTTAAACATATCTTTTATTCAAATGTATACATTTTCTTTTAAACGCTATTTGACAAGCATTTCCATCCGACATTCTACTTGCATTTTACAAATTAACGTATTATATGTATGTGTAATAATTTAGATTTCAATCTTAGTTTTTTGAAAGAATATTACTTTTAAACTTTTAAATTAAAATAAAATATATATAAGCTAAATTAAATTGTATTAATTTATATATATATATATATATATTAATATTAATATTAATATTGATTAATATTATATTAATATTGAATCATATTACTAATAAAATTTATATAAAATGATTAATATTAAATTAATAAAAATAAATATTATACCAGAAATTTTACATTTACAAAATGTAATTCCATTTTAATATTAATTGTTTTATTTTTTAACAATTATTGAGTTTGTCGATATTAATATTACGAAACTCATCATATCTCATAATTTGTTTCAGAATGTACATTATCCATATTACAACCATATATTTATTTTATTTTGGCGTGTTATATTTTATATACAACAACTTTGGAATAATAAGACTTTGCCTGGAATGTGTCACCGAAGTAATAAAATCTTTACCGCTCATAGGCACAGTAATTCAAATGCTACGTCTCTAAGAACGTTTATAGACATTCTGTGTTTATTGCTTTATATGCAATGAGCAGACAAGGAACGGTAATTTCTTTGATGACAATCTATTACATCTTTTACTTGACTTGCTTGTAATCTCTGTTATAAATTATGAGGTTGAAGGCAATTTCAATGTACCATTGATATAGAAATATTTATTTGGTCGGCTATTGATATTAATTATAACTTCGATATAGATATATGTACTAGGATATTTGCAAAAAAACTGGCTATCTATATCAGTTTTTAATTTTCGATCAAAATATAAATTTTTAGAGAAACTTCAATGAAAGAACGTTTGAGATAACTATACATTGTATAAGTTTTCTCGCGATATATAAATGTGATAAATATATCGCCGCACTATCCGATATACACATGTACAAGCATATTTAATGGAATAAAGGTTTATGTGCACATAGAGATGTATTGTTCAAGACTAAAAGATTTATTATGCTTTAATACCAATATCCATTGTTATAATAGAGAAACTCTCTAAAGCCAACAGCATGATTTATCAATCTTTTTTATTTGCAAATAAAAATATACATTTTTTTTCACGAACGCTCTACTTTTTATAAAAAAGCTTCAATTTTGCTAATGTTTACTACTGCGTGGTAAAAAAATCACAATTTCTCTCGGTGACACTTAAAATCGACAATTTTGATTAAACGTATTGGTTTGTATT